AGTTTATTAGTTCACTGGCTTGTTTTCTGCCATTGTATTAATGCACTAGGAGTAGCAACTGGGCTATGAATGCAAAGTGGCTTTTATAACAATCTCTTTCCTTCCTAAAAAAGTCATCCCCCAATTACAGTTAATTGTATCCTACCCAAGACATCTGCAGTTTGGGTAACAAAGCCGTTGTTTCACAGTAGAAGTGAGAAAGCTTCTTGATTATTTATTATAAGAAGGTAGTGGCTTCCTAACCAAAGCTGTGAAGTCCAAGGCTCTGAGGATGTATGGAAAGATAGGAAGCCCAAATGCTCAGGCAGCATGATTTGCAGATCAGAGTGATAAACCTTGCTTCCACTGAGTCCTCAGCAAATCCATGAAAATCTTGGAGTCACATGCAAAGTGTCATGTGAGTGCTTTTTTCAAAAAAAAAAAAAAGTAAAAGATCCATTCCTTAAAAAAAAAAAAAAAAAAAAGTAAAAGATCCATTCCTTATCTTTTATCAGATTCTCAAAAAGGCCTGAGAACTTCCAAAGAGGTCATGAATCATTCTTGCAGGCCAGGTGTCGGCAAATGGCCCTTAGGCCAGATCCTGACTAATACTGGCTTTCCTACAACCTTCAAGCTGAGAATGTTTATTTTTCTTTTTGTTTTTTTTGAGAATGGTTTTTATATTTTTAATATATTTTTTAATATTTATTATTTATTTTTGAGAGAGAGAGAGACAGAACACAAGCCAGGGAGGGGCAGAGAGAGAGGGAGACCCAGAATCTGAAGGAGGCTCCAGGCTCCAAGCTGTCAGCACAAAGCCTGATGTGGGGCTCGAACTCATGAACTGTGAGATCATGACCTGAGCCGAGTCGGACGCTTAACCCACCGAGCCACCCAGGTGCCCCTGGTTTTTATATTTTTAAATGGCTGAAAAAAATCAAAAGAATAATATTTCATGACACATAAAATTAAATGACATTCAAAGTGGTGTCCATAAAAAATGTTTTCTCGGAACACAGCCACACTCATTTGTTTACATGTTGCCATGGCTGCTTAGCCGAATAGCTACAACAGAGATACAAAGCCTAAAAATTTACTATCTGGTCACTTTCCAAAAGATTTTGTGGGACTGCCACAGATGGGACTAGATAATACACCTTGTAAATATGGGTGCCTCTACTTTTCACTTGTGTGTAGATACTGTTGTAAGTATGTACAAATTTACCTAAGTATATTATTAACGTAGTGGACATGAGTCACTGGAACCGTCTTACCACATTTAGAGAGTTCCTACAATGTGAGTCTTGCAGAGACAGAGTTGGTGTCCCGTACAGAAGGCCAGATTCTCCTTTCTCCCGCCTCCGTGCAGCCAGGGCAAGGACGTGGGACTTGGGATCAAAGACGCCACCTAGGGCTCTGAAGCTGCAGTGAATCACACAAGACGGCAGAGAGAGGGGAGATCATTCTGGCAGTAGTGGAGACACAACAGTCACATCTAACTTCTAAGAGTAGCGGGGCCAGCAGGACGGGAGTGCTGCAGCAGTGACCCAGTTCTGGTTGTGCGTCAGTGGTCTCCTCACTCAACAGTCCCTAAGGTATGATTTGTTTTGTCTTTGCTTCTAACTGTCTAGCCTCTTTGTCTATCCAGCCGAGGCAAACTCAGGCACTTAAGAGATGGGCTGTATCATTCATTGCCTGCAGCAGAGGGGTTGAAGTATGGTTAAGTATGAACTCCAAGGGGACAGAGAGTGGCCAATCTGTCCTTGTATCCTTGACACCTGATAGTGCCTGGTACTCAAGAGTGCTCACTAAACTATCTGTTGATGAGAACAGCAGTGAGTAAGTCTGTGAGTTGGTGAGAGTACACACTAGGGATCTCTGACTTCATTAGACTCCAGCCACCTGAAACTGACAAAGAACATTTCATACATCAGGGTCTCATAAGAAAGGAATATAAAAACAGCCCTATTCCTTAACCCCTATCTATGACTTCCTGGGTTTCCCAGACCATTGAGGGTACAGTGATAAGAAATGGTCAGAATTTAGGGACCTATGTGAATTTGATCCTAGCCTGTTAGTCTCAGAGCCCCTCTGATGACACCTGCCATATCTTTTAGCAGCAGATAGCCAGGAGCGCCTGGGTGGCTCTGTCAGTTAAGCATCTGACTTCAGCTCAGGTTGTGATCTCATAGTTCGTGGGTTTGAGCCCCATGTCAGGTTCTGTGCTGATATCATGGAGCATGATTGATATTCTCTGTCTCTCAAAAATAAATAAAATAAAAACATTTTTTAAAAGGCAGATAGCCAGGGTGCCTGGGTGACTCAGTCGGTTAAGCATCCGACTTCAGCTCAGGTCATGATCTCATGGTTTGTGGGTTCGAGCCCCGCATCGGGCTCTGTGCTGACAGGTAGCTCAGAGCCTGGAGGCTGTTTTAAGATTCCATATCTCCCTCTCTCTCTCTCTCTCTCTGACCCTTCCCTGACCACACTGTCTCTATCTCTCTGTCAAAAATAAATAAAACATTAAAAATTAAAAAAAAATAAAGGCAAATAGCCAATCAAAAAGCACTTGTATGCACACATGTGCACTGGCTGGGAGAACATGAAACAGGGTATATACACTAGGAACACAGCTCTTGCACTGGCCCTAGACTGCCGATTGCCATATGCAAGAGCTGTGTTCTTGCACACACAAGAACTCAGTGTTGGTGCTAAAGACCTTCTCGGGTGGATTTGTAATTTAGAACAAAGTGATTACAGTGATGACTAAAAATCAGCAACATTTCATGACTTATGGATCTGTGTATATATGCTGGGTGACAGATTTTTAATGACCTGGAAAAAAGAGAGAAGCCAATGAGACCTTTCATAGCAGATCAGGAATCCACAGTGACATTTCCACAAAGCTAGTGCTGCAATGCCACAATGTCTGTTTTTTCTGACAGTCGCACTGTTTGTAATCAAGAGAGGGAGAGAGAGAGAACATGGGGATGAAGCTGAGGCAGTGCAGAGCCTTAGCAGAAACCAAGATAGTTTCAAAGGCATGTCTATAACCAGTATGTTATAGAAGTTTTATTTTTGTCTTCCACTATCTTTTGACACTTGGTTGAGAAAACATGATCTTCCTCTGACCAACAGTGAAGATATGGGCAGACACATGATTTTTCTGTCAGATTGTCTTCCTATCAGTTTTAATCACCAACTATCACTGCATTAAAGAATCAAGTCACATCTAGGAGTGTCTAGGTGGTTCAGGCGGTTGAGCATCTGGCTCTCAGTTTCGGCTCAGGTCATAATCTCATGGTTCGGGGGATTCAGTCCCACATTGGGCTCTGTGCTGACAGTGCAGAGCCTGTCAAGAGGTTCTCTCTCTCCCTCTCTTCCTCTCCCCCGCTCTTTCTCTCATAATAAATAAATTAAAAAAAAAAAAAAGATAATCTAGTCACATCTAACAGCCAAAACTACAAACTTGGCATTAATTCTTTTGCTATGTTGAGTCTGCTTCAGGCTTTACAGCAGAGCAATGGGATGCAGTCCTCTGCTCTCTCTTCTTTCCTCCTCTTCAACTCCCCTGCTTTCTAATTATTTTACCACTGCTTTGGAGGTTGAGGGGGGAGGAGCACTACAGACAGGATGGTTCTGACTTAGCTGGTTGGCTCTGTGCTCTCGGCCTGCCTGGTGATTACAACTGGCTCTGTCTCTTGGGTTGGTACTTTCATGAGCCTACCAGAGCATCCTGCTGCACTCTTTGACCCTGGCACATGCATCTTCCCCCTTGCTGCTCACTTGCTGTCCTCTCTCCTCAGTCCCTGGGCACCAGGAAGGACATGTCCAGACCCTTTCTGTAGAGGTCTCCTTAGCTCTGCTGATGTCCTATTGGACACTGTCAAATATGAATCCACAGCACAGTCCATGAGAGATATTCATGTTCCTTGCCAGGCAGGCTCTGTCATTAAAGTCATTGGCCTTGTCTTTATTTTGCCCTCTAGATTTCCTAGGCAGGAGTCAGCCTGCTTCTGTGACCCAAACTTCAGCCCACTTCCGCCTTCTTTCTCAGGCCTGACTCAGGCACCAGTTTGCTGGATCTCCCACTGCAGGGAACACATTTCCAAACTCTCTGAGTTGTCTCCTTGGAACTACCCCCCCGCAGATAGTGGTAGATGTCACTTCCCTACCCTTCTGTCAAAACGGGGGTTGGAACTCAACACAGCAACAGCTTTATCCAAAAAATCTCTTCATTAATCGTACCAAATCCTCTCGGTCTTTAAAACTCTGTATTCTCAAAGTGGATAAGGGGTATCCAAGAGCCATGGAATAAGTTCTCTAGTTTTCCCCTTTGTATCCTCAATTAAATTTAAGGCAGAAGAGTTCCATTCTAGTAACTTGTGCATTAGTTACTTATTGCTGTACAACAAATTACCCCAAAACTTAGTGGTATAAACGATAAACATTTATTATTGCTCACAGCTTCTCTGGGTCAGGAATTTGGGTGCCTTAGCTAGACAGTTCTGGCTCAGGTCTCTTGAGGATCCAATCAAGATATGAGCTTGACTGAGGCTGGAGGACCACTTCTAACATGGCTCACTCCTATGGCTTGCAATTTGGTGCTGGTTGTTGGTGGAAGGCCTCAGTTCCTCTCTTTCTGGAATTCTCCACAGGCTGGACTGTTCTCATAACAGGGTGGCTGGATTCCCGAGGAGTGAGCAATTCAAGAAATCAAGATGAATGCAACAACCCCTATTATGATCTAGCCTTGGAAGACACACACCATCACCCCTGATTCTTGATTAGCTACACCTACTAGCTCTGATTCAATATGGAAGGCAACTCTACAGGGGCATGAACATCAGAAATGGAGGATCATTGGGGAACATCTGTGCCTTCTACACCCTGTTGCACTTCAAATGATTATTAGTCCCTAAAACAAACTGAAGAAAGTTCAAGTAAAGAAGAGACTGTAATTTCAGACTGGTTAAATCAAAACTTCTTTGAGGACTTCTTAATCTCCAAAATTATGTATGATATCTGGCCCTCTCCACGTTTCTTCCTCATCTACAAATGGGTCCCATACTCTCCTTGAAGGAAGGCAGGGCCTAGGCTTGATTTTAAGGGTTTCTCTAGTTCTCAGATTGCTGATTCTACATAATAATAACAAAACAAAGCTTTGCAAATTTCTTTTAGAGTTGACATTAATACTAAAATTTATAATTCAATAAAAACTTTCTAAAGTATGTCATTACAAGAATCATCGCTGTTTTATTTATTCTACAGAGTAATGATTTAAATGGAATCCATTTGGACACAGTAAATATTTGACATGAAAAGTAGTTGTACCAGAAGAGGCATCAGAAAAATAGCAACTCGTCTGACACATAATAATTAGAAAATATTCTTCTGTCTGATCATTTAAGTGTTACAAATCCTGAGTATATTATACACTGAACAAACTAGGTATTACATATAATTAAATCTTCCTTACAAATCATCCATTAAAAAAATGCTTTGAGGTACAAATCACCTATGTATTAAACATGAGTCTTATACATTTTACAAAGAATTTAAACAAATATATCAAACAATTAAAGTTAAGTGGCTCTTAAAACAGCTGTCAGTCAGGTTCAAGGACACACTGTTCCACGATTTCCCGTAAATTGGGGTTTTCCATTGCAGCTGCCACTCGCTCTTTGTCATTTATCTGCTTGTTGACTGAAAAATACAGACAAAAGTTAGCATAGGAACCTTGTCAATATATAGTAACAGACAAAAATTTATTTAGCCTGTTAAAACAGAATTTAACTCCTTGATAAATTAAAGCTGATTCTGGCGAATTATTCTTAAGTTCTAGAAGGGAGACTTACAGAGAAAAATACGCCCTATAATCCTACTACTCTTCCACAACTATTTTCATTTCTTTCTTTCTAGTCTTTGTCCATATACATATTTCCATGTAGAGTAAAGAGTAAATACAATTTGAAATTTGCTGTTTTTTCCCCTTTAGCCTATTTTTTTAACTACAGGGTTATTTAATACATCAAAAATTATAAGTCTTCTAAATTAATTATAAAAGCTATGCTACATTGAGCATCTTTATACATACAGCCTTCTTTCTGGAAAGATTCTTAGAAGTGGCATTATTAGATCAAGGGATCTGAATATTTTCATGGTTTGATTATTATTACCGAATTACTTCACAACATTTTTTTACCAATTATATTGTCAACAATACATGAGGTATCAGTTTGTGAAAAATATCTGGTACTATAAATAAAAACAAATAAACACACGCATAAAGCAGGAAGTAAAAAAATGTCTCCACGTTTTTGTTGTAGTTTGTAATTTCTTGATTAATAATGAGAGAGAATATTACCCCATGTTTATCTCTTAGTTCTTCTGTGAATTTTCTGTTCATCTACTAGGTCTTTTTTTTTTTTAATGAGTATGCATGGATCTTCATATAATAAAGGTATTGGTCCATATCTGTTGTCTATAATTTGCTAAAAGCACTCTCGATGTAAGAGTTCAAAAGAAATGTCCATATTTTTTTCTAGACTTTCAATTTCAAGTACATAGCTTCCTATTCTGCATTAAAGAAAAGTATCAATCCCTCCTTAGAGTTTATAAGTCAAGGTCCCTAAAGTTTGATATTCTTCAGAGATGTGCAGCTACTCGCCTAAAACAGCTAACGTCCACAGGGCCTATGTCTAGTTCATCTAGAATCCTACTGAAAAACTACTTCCTTGAAAAGTCTAGGTTTCTCCACCTCAAGGAAGAATAACTAATTCTGCACTTTTTTGCAAATGATCCCTAGATAGTTAGATGGCAGAATAATTTGGTATCCAAGATGAAGCACTATCTGAAGTTGTTGGTTTTTTTTTTTTTTAATAATGAGTCAAGATTGACTTACTGTCTTCCTCTGTTGAGTGGGTTCCTTCAGAAATATAGATTTCCAACTAGGAAGAAAATATTAAAAGCAAAACATTTAGAGCACTCTACGATAATAAGTGAAGTGCAATGCACAATGGACTCAAGAGCCTAAGGATGAAAGCCCAAATCTTCTTTCTAACATCAATGACAGATCCCTCTAAAACAAGGACTGAAATTAGTAGGATTTTAAATTTTGGTTACCTGGCGGAAGGCTTGCAGGATTATTCCTATTAATTACTTTTTAAAATGCATACACACAAATAAAAATTTACACAAATGAGATCACATTCATAGTTCACTCATGGATCTCTCTAACCTACACTCTACCTCTTCCTCTCAAATTAGTACCTAAAGTATCTAAACTTCCTCCCTACCCCAAGAAAACTATACTAATAATCTAGTGTAGTTTCTTCCACATTTTTCTTCATACCTTATAATGGAGTATAGATTTTATACACACACACACACACACACACACACACACACACCAAGGTTGGAAGTTTCTTCTTTGCTCATTTTACAGAAATGTGATAAAAAACAGTTTTCAGTATCCTCCTTTTTCTCATCCACTCTTATCTTGCTAAATGTACTCTCAAGTATAATATTGGTTAAGCTATCCCTTCTGGCCTGCTGCACTCCCTCAGATTAGCTAACCTCCAAGAACCAGAGCTTCTGAGATAAACCCGCAAAATTACTGCAAATCCCATGGTATATAAAGCATGCTATATGATAAACCCATGTCTACTCTCCAGAGAACACTGGAGTGTATCAACTAATTCTTTATATAGTTATTTCACTAGTGAGATAAATGTTTTTTAAGAGTAAAAAATATCATATTATGGTTAAAAGAGACCCTACAGATCATCTAGAATGGTCTTTTTAAAAAACAAAACACCATATAAATTCTCCTAGTGGATAACACTAACTCTTATTCCAGACAACAAAGCAACAGGTATAAAATCACCCTATACTCATTTACTTTGGTTTAAAATTATGCATAACTTACTACTCTGAAAAATGGAAAATAAAGGGGAAAAGTTTAGCATTTACCCTGCTATTCCTAAATGAACTACACCTCAGGGAAACCATTATAATTGGTTTGGTACCTTGCAGGCATAGAAGATTCTAAATTTGGGAGGTTATGGCCCTTTCTAAGTGGCTCTTACTTGGTCTTAAATTTTGCACATGAAAAGATGCTCAACATTATTAGCCACCAGAGAAATGAAAATCTAAACCATGAGTTATCACTTCTAACCCACCAGGATGGCTATAATGGAAAAGAGAGATTAGTAAGTGAAGATGTGGAGAAATCAGAACCCTTGTACTGCTGGTGGGAATGTAAAATGGTCAAGTAGCACTGGAAAACAGTCTAGCAGTTCCTCAAAAGGTTAAATATAGTTAGCAAAAGATCCAGCAATTCGCCGCCTAGGCGGAGGAAAAATGAAAACATATGCTCAAACAAATATATAACAGACAAAAAGTGGAAACAACCCAAATGTCCATCAACTAATCAACAGATAAACTATGGTATATTCATATAATGGAATAACATAAGGCAATAAAAAGGATTGAAATACTGACACATGCTACAACATAGATGAATTCTGAAAATAATATTTTAAGTGAAAAAAGACCATATGCTGTATGATTCCATTTGAATTAAACATCCAGAGTAAATAAATATATAGAGACCAAAAGAGGATCAGTGATTGCCTGGGGATGGAGGAAGGTTTAGGAAGGAAGGAAATAGGTGTGGGGTTTCTTACTGAGGTGATAAAAATGTTTTATAACTGACAGTAGTGATGGTGGCAAAACTCAGTGAACATACTAAAAACCATTAAATTGTAGACTTTAAACAGGTGAACTGTATGAAACGTGAATTAATCTCAATAAAGCGGTTATAAAACAACAAAATCTTCCTTACCTTATGTTTAAATGGTAAACACCGCTGAAGTTTTACTCTTAAGCACAGCCCTGTAGAGGGGAGGAAAAAAAGGTCCCAAATTATCTCTTCTTATTAGTTCTTGAAAAAGCAAACAGCTGTGGGTAGATATCTCCATACAGAACAGTAGCTAGAAACAGTTTTGGCTCAATGCAGTAGATGCTACCTTAGAGCCATGCACCATGCTAGCAACTTTTATATAGTCTTACATACTCCTCATAATAATCCAGTAAGCCAAATATTACCAACCCCATTCTATAAATTATGAAACTAAGATCACAATGTAACTTGCCCAATGTCACTGAGCTAGTAAAGTGGCAGTTTGGACTAAAATTCAAGATGATTGCAAAGCCTAGGTCCTTTCTACCACATCAATTTACCTTCAAGCAAAGGTCAATTCACTCTACACTTTACTGAACACTCAGACCAGATCACCCAAATTTTTAAAACCAAGTAAGAGCCACTTAGGGGCACCTGGGTGGCTCAGTTGGTTGAGCGTCTAACTTTGATCTCGCGGTTCATGAGTCCGAGCCCCATGTTGGGTTCTGTACTAACAGATCGAGCCTGGAGCCTGCTTTGGATTCCGTGTCTCCACCTCTCTGCGCCTCCCCCACTCAAGCACTGTGTCTCTTTTCAAATATATTATATAAGATATTATATTCAAATATAAGATATTAATTCAAATAGAAATTATATTCAAATATAAAAATATGTCTCTCCGGCTCTCTCTCAAATATAAATAATAAAAAAAAACATTTAAAAAAAAATAATAAAACCAAGATAGAGCCACTTAAAAAAAGGACATAAAAAAAAAAGGACATAAGAAACTTCACAACTTTGAATCCTCTATGCCACAACATACAAAGAGAAATGTTGCCCTTAAACAAGTTCCTCTGAAGTTCAGCTAGCCACCCCAATGCCAAGTCAGTTTAATGATTTTTTTTTTCCCAGTTGAGACTTTTAAGAGAAATTAAAACTGGGCTTGGAACAGATTCTCGGTGCCCATGCTCTATTTCTCTCCTACCTCAAAATAAGGAATGAATTTTTAACTAAATCAACATCCCTAGACACAGATGATAAATTGAATCCTTCTTATGCAAGAAAGTGTTTCTGAGTGCTTCGAGTCTAGAACACAGTAATTCCATAAGACATATCCAAGAACTTTAAACACAATATACCAATTATTTAAGGGGTTCTTCCTTCAGACAATCTCCTTAAAGCCTATCTGGAGAGCTCTTCCCCTCCCTCTGCCCCCCACACTGTCTCTTAATCTGTTACCTGTATACCATCTGAACATCCTCATGTGTTCTACTCACCGTTGGTAGGTGTTTTACCCATACAGTAAATAACTGTTCCCCCAATTCACAAAGCACTTTCCTGAGCGTCAGTATCCTCAAGAGAAGCAGAACAGCATTACTGAGATAGATACTTTGGGTTCAAAAGTGGCTCCACCACATACTAGCTATGTGACCCTGGGCAAGTTACTTAATTCTTCTGAACTTCAGTTTCCTTATCTGTAAAATATGTATTAGAATAGTACCCTGCTGGGGCGCCTGGGTGGCTTAGTCGGTTAAGCGTCTGACTTTCACTCAGGTCATGATCTCGCGGTTCGTGGGTTCGAGCCCTGCGTCAGGCTCTGTGCTGACTGCCAGCTCGGAGCCTGGAGCCTGTTTCAGTCTGTGACTCCCTCTCTCTCTGACACTCCCCTGCTCACGCTCTCTCTCTCTCCTAGAAATAAATAAAAATATTAAAAAAAAAAAAAAAAGAATAGTACCCTGCTATATAGGATTGTTGTAAGTAGTAAACAGTTATGCAATGTGCCTAAAATAGTACTTGGTACATAAAAAGTATCTAATAAATATTAGCTATTACTATTGTACCATTTTCATTTTACAGCCAGGAGCCAACTCTGGGGCTCCAACCCACAAACCGTGAGATCATGACCTGAACCAAAGTTGGATGTTTAACTGACTGAGCCATCAAGGTGCCCCAAGAGTAAAAACTTTTTAATAAAGATTTCTTAATATGAACCGAGAGGCTTAGAAATACTTTTATGACCCAATAATTCCAATTAAAGGAATTTATCCTGAGGCAATAACTAGAGATATATAAAAATATTTACATATTAAGTTGTTCATCATAATATTATTTATAATTGTAAAAGCCAAAAAGTGGTCTAAATGGCATAAAACTTATGATATACTGATGTGATTAGCACAAACCTACAGGGCTATATAATTAAAAACTAATATTTAATGATGAATAAAAAACTGCCTATGCTTATCTATTTCATGCTTTCTATTACCTAACCCTTGTAATTCTGTTATTATCTGCTATTCTTATTATCTCTACTTTACAGATAAGGAAACTGAAGCTCAGAAAGGTTAATAAGTAACTTGCCTAAGGTCACAAAATGGCAGACCTGACAGAGCTGGAATTTTCACCCCGAGCACACATTCTTTTATGACAGCTGGTTTTTATTTTCTTCTTTATGCTTTTGCAGGATTTCCAAATTATTGCCAAGAAACATTACTTTTATAATTTAAAAAACACAAAGTAAACATTACTTTTTGAAAAATCAATTTGCTAAAGGCTCTTAAAGTAACAGATCCTCTGTTCAAGAACTTTGTTCAAGACTGAACTGCAATCTCTATCAAAAGAACACCAGCATTCTTCACAGAGCTAAAACAAACAATCCTAAAATTTGTATGGAACCAGAAAAGACCCCGAATAGCCACAGCAACCTTGAAAAAGAAAACTAAAGCTGTAGGCATCACACTCCCAGACTTCAAGATGTATTAGAAAGCTGTAATCATCAAGACAGTTTGGTACTGGCACAAAAACAGATACTCAGATCAATGGAACAGAAAGAGAACCCAGAAATGGATACACAAATGTATGGCCAACTAATTTTTGACAAAGCAGGAAAGAATATGCAATGGAATAAAGACACTCTCTTCAGCAAATGGTGCTGGGAAAACTGGACACCGACATGCATTAAAATGAACCTGGACCACTTTCTTACACCATACACAAAAATAAACTCAAAGTAGATGGAAGACCTAAATGTAAGAAAGGAAGCCACAAAAATCCTACAGGAGAAAGCAGGCAAAAACCTCTTTGGAACCTCAGCCACAGCACCTTCTTACTCAACACATCTCCAGAGGCAAGGGAAACAAAAGCAAAAATGAATTATTGGGACCTCATCAAAATAAAAAGCATCTGCACAGCGAAGGAAACAATCAGCAAAACTAAAAGGCAACCGATGGAATGGGAGAAGATATTTGCAATCAACTTATGAGATAAAGGGTTAGTACCCAAAATCTATAGAGAACTTATCAAACTCAACACCCAAATAACAAATAATCCAGTGAAGAAATGGGCACAGGACGTGAATAGACACTTCTCCAGAGAGGACATCCAGATGGCCAAGTGACAAATGAAAAGATGTTCAACATCATTCATCATCAGGGAAATACAAATTAAAACCACAATGAGATACTACCTCACACCTGTCAGAATAGCTAACATTAACAACTCAGGCAACAACAGATGTTGGCGCAGATGCTGAGAAAGAGAATCTCTTTTCCACTGCTGGTGGGAATGCAAACTGGTACAGCCACTCAGGAAAACAGTATGGAGTTTCCTCAAAAAATTAAAAACAGAACCATCCTATGACCCAGTAACTGCACTACTAGGTATCTATCCAAGGGATACAGGTGTGCTGTTTCAAAGGGGCATATATGTTTATAGCAGCACTACCGACAATAGCCAAAGTATGGAAAGAACCCAAATGTCCATGGATGGATGAATGGATAAAGAAAATGTGGTGTATATATATATATACACAATGGAGTATTACTTGGCAATTAAAAGAATGAAATGTTGCCAGTTGCAACTACCTGGATAGAACCAGATGGTATTATGCTAAGCGAAATTAGTCAGTCAGAGAAAGACAAGTATCATATGGCTTCTCATATGAGGAATTTAGGATACAAAACAGATGAACATAAGAGAAGGGAAGCAAAAATATTATAAAAACAGGAAGGGAGACAAAACATAAGAGACTCTTCAATACAGAGAACAAACAGAGGGTTGCTGGAGGGGTTGTGGGGGGGGAATGGACTAAATGGGTAAGGGGCATTAAGGAATCTACTCCTGAAATCATTGTTCCACCACATGCTAACTAACTTGGATGTAAATTAAAAAATTAATTAATTAAAATTTAAAAAAGAACTCTTATACCAAAATATTTTAAGACACTCCCTTCACATCAAGAAAGCAGCAGCACTTCTGGTATCTGGTGATTCAGAAACTGTCTAATGACAAAAAAAAAGTATGTATTCAAAAACGCTTTTTCCAGGGTGCCTGGCTGGCTCAGTCAGCAGAGCATGGGACTCTTGATCTCGAGATGTGAGCTCCAGCCCCACATTAGGTTCAGAGATTACTTAAAAATAAAATCTTTACAAACAAACACTAAAACCACTTTTTCTAATCGAATATTAATAGCCGTAATATTATCTATGGATTCACAAACCCTCCAGTCCCTCAAGATGTAGCCCATATGCTAGATAGAAATCGCTAATAGGGACCCCAGATTAACAAGTGAGAAAAGAAAAAACAGAAATCACAAGAATGGAAGCAATAATAAAATGCTTACTTTTCAATCTTTTTTATAAACTTATCTATTTTAAAATAGATAATATATTCCCATAGCTCACAAACTTAAAAATATAAAAAGGTATATATAGTAAAGTGTCCCTCCCATCCTGTCTCCAACCTGCTCAGTTCCTACCAACACGACTACCCACCCCCCATCACAGCTTCATTTCTTATGTATTCTTCATGCAGAGGCCATCAAATACAAATGTCGATTTTTGCCTTTTTTTACACAATGTAGCAATATTACACTTGCTTTTATTTCTTAACACTATGTAATAAAGATCTTTCCATATCAGTACATGGAGAGCTTCTTCATTCTTTTTAATAGCTACGTGGTATTCCATTGTTTAAATATATACTAGCATTGATTAAACAATCCCCTACTTATGAACATTTGGTTTGAAATATATTTCATTTATCTTCTTTTTTTTAATTAAATTTTTTTAATGTTTATTTATTTCTGAGAGAGAGAGAGAGAGAATGTGAGCTGGGGAAGAGGCAGAGAGATAGAAACACAGAATCTGAAGCAGGCTCCAGGCTCTGAGCTATCAGCACAGAGCCCGATGTGGGGCTTGAACCCACAAGCCATGAGATCATAATCTGAGCCAAAGTCAGACACCCAACTGAGCCACCCAGGCACCCCTCCTTTATCTTCTTTATAGCAAAGTATATATTCAAAGATACCTCTTATATATCTTACTGTTAACTATTCCAAAATACTGGGAATGCAGACAGACTCTCAAATAGAAAACAGCCTTCAAAATAACCCCCCAAATAAAAAAAGTAAAAACAAACAAACAACAACAACAATAAAAAAACACCTCTCCCAATAGGACTTCTGTCCATACTTCAGAAGCCAACAGAGCAGCTAGAGAAGAGGGTGATGGCAGCAGTGCTAGTCTGACAGCACCCACTTCGATCTCCGGAACTGAGGAGAGGACTAGCTCACATCCACTCTCTAGTCATTGCCGGTATATATACTAAAGACAAGCAGCATGGTGTAACTAAAGAAGGTATCACATTAGGAGTCAGGAGACCTGGGTTTGAGCCTCAGTCTCATAATCCTGGCTACATGATTCTGAGCAAGTCACTTAGACTCTTGGAGTCTTAGGTTCCTCAACTGAGAAATTCTCTCATAGCCTAATTGTGAAGGCTACAGAAGATATACATCTGAAAATACTCTGGGAACTATAAAGTGTGATACATGATGCTAATTGTTATTTTGGGCCACTATCAGTAAAATAACTTAGAATTAAAAATATATTTACATATAAAGCCTTACCGATAAGGGTTGCCAAAGAGCAGTGAGGTACTGTTGGCGTGAACCTGATAATAACCAAATAGTCTTCTTCGTTTATCTCCTCAACCTCCACACTACTTTCCGTTACCACTTCCAGTTCTTCTAAGGTATTGGGCTTCTCTGGATCCCGGATGGTCCGAATCAAATCTGTAGAATCATCAGAGACAAGGTATCTTGTTCAAATATGATTATTCTAGGGGCACCTGGGTGGCTCAGTCAGTTGAGCATCTGACTTTGGCTCAGGTCATGATCTCACAGTTCCTGAGAACTGCGTCAGCACAGAGCCTGCTTTGGATCCTCTGTCTCCCTCTGGTCCTCCCCTGCCTGTGCTCTCTCTCTCAAAAATAAATAAACATTTGGGGTGCCTGGGTGGCTCAGCTGGTTAAGCATCTGACTTCAGCTCAGGTCATGATCTCGCAGTTTGCGGGTTTGAGCGTCGCAGCAGGCTCTGTGCTGGCAGCTCAGAGCCTGGAGCCTGCTCCGGATTCTGTGTCTCCCTCTCTCTCTGACCTTCCCCTTCTCACACTGTCTCTCTCTCTCAGAAATAAGTGAAACATTAAAAAATTTTTAACAAAAAAAAAAAAATAATTAAAAAAACAAAAACCAGAAAGGCCCATGAATATTCTAAATAAGGGTGACTTTGCCAGTCCTAATCCAAACACTGCTTTTTTTTTTTTCACTGCTTTCTTCTTTTAACCAAATATCACAGTAACTCCCCAGATTTCTGACAAAAATTTTCACCACCAATTTCCTTTTGAGAAAACGGTTTTCTTGGATTATCAGATCATACCCCATTTCTTGGATCTAACATTGCTGAGAGAATATAAGTATGAGGAAAGTGTCATAGAAGCTCAAGGGGAAGAAATAACTTTTACCTTGGGAGAATGTGGTATTGGGATTTATGAAAGCAGAATCTGAATCAAGCCTTTAAATATGGGTGACATTTCAATATCTGACATTTAAGGTGAAGGAACTAAAGGATCAGAAGTTTAGGGGTGCCTGGTTGGCTCAGTTGCTAATGCATGAGACTCTTGATCTTGGGGTTGTGAGTTTGCTCCCCATGTTGAGTGTAGATTACTTTAAAATATATTTTTAGGGGCGCCTGGGTGGCTTAGTCGGTTAAGCGTCTGACTTTCGCTTAGGTCATGATCTCACAGTTCATGGGTTTGAGCCCCGCGTCGGGCTCTGTGCTGACTGCCAGCTCAGAGCCTGGAGCCTGTTTCAGTCTGTGACTCCCTCTCTCTCTGACCCTCCCCTGCTCACGCTGTCTCTCTCTCTCTCCTAGAAATAAATAAAAATATAAAAAAAAATATATTTTTTGGGGCGCCTGGGTGGCTTAGTCGGTTAAGCGTCTGACTTTCGCTTAGGTCATGATCTCTCTGTTCTTGGGTTTGAGCCCCGCGTCGGGCTCTGTGCTGACTGCCAGCTCAGAGCCTGGAGCCTGTTTCAGTCTGTGACTCCCTCTCTCTCTGACCCTCCCCTGTTCACGCTGTCTCTCTCTCTCCTAGAAATAAATAAAACATTTAAAAAAAAAAATAAAATAAAAAAAAATAAAAAAATATATATTTTTTTAATTAAAAAAAAAAAAAGGTTAGTCTGCCCAGAACCCAGCAGAAGTGAGGATATACGAGGTTAAGCCAGACCATCAAGGATCTTTTAGTCAGACACAGGCAATAGGGAATCAAGAGGTTCTGAACAAGGAGTTAACATGGACAGTACTACATTGTCAGCTGGTAATTCACCTACTAGCTGGCAGACTCAGAATTAAGAGTAGGGCCCAGGTATACCAGCTGAAAATTCTGGGCCCAAAACAGGCACATGACAATAGTAATGAAAAGGAGAGGACAGATGGAGAAGTCATTTCAGAGGCAGAATCAACAGAATTTGACAATTGTTTGGATGTAGAAGACAAGGAAAGGGAAAAAGGAAGATGAGTCAGGTTTTAAGTCTGTCTGGGAGAATACTGATAGAATGAAAAAAAAAACAAACTGGAGAACACAGGAAGAAAGTTGGGTGGGGGCAGGGGCAACTGGGTTCAATTTTACATATAATGATTTTGAAGTGCTTAGCGGGCACTGGAACATTCCGGCAATCACTGAATGGCGACGTAACGCTTAAGCGAGCTAAACAGACACATAAAAAGATGCTGAGGGTGCTGCGTGGCTCAGTCAGTTAAGTGGCGGACTCAGTTTTGGCTCAGGTCAATGATCTCACAGTTCATGTGTTTGAGCCCCAATCAGGCTTCACGCGGATAGTGCAGAGCCTTGTTGGGATTCTCCCTCTCTCCATCTCTCTCTGACCCTGCCCATCCCCCTCTCTAAATAAATAAGTTAAAAAAAAAAAAACAGCTCAACAGCACTTATTAGGGAAATGCAAATCAAAGCTACAATGATTTATAGATTTTAGATATTACCTCATACCTGTCAGAATGGCTAAAATCAACAACACAAGAAACAAGTGTTGACAAGGATGTGGAGAAAAAGGAAACCCTGGGCACTGCCGGTGGGAACGCAAACTGGCGCAGCCACTCTGGAAAACAGTATGGAGGTTCCCCAAAAAATTAAAAATAGAACTACCTTACAATCCAGTAATCATACTACTGGGTATGTACCCAAAACATACAAAAACACTAATTCAAAGGGATACATGCATCCTGATATTTACTGCAGCATTATTTACAACAAACTATGGAAGCAGCCTAAGCGCATCCTCTGATAGGTGAATAAAGAAGATGTGAGACAGACTGAGAGACTGCATTATACATATAATGGAAAATTATTCAGCCATAAAAAATAATGAAATCTTGCCATTTGCAAGGACATGGATGGAGGTAGAGAGTATAATGCTAAGCTAAATAAGTCAGTCAGAGAAAGACAAATATCTATGATTTCACTTTTATGTAGAACTTAAGAAACAAAACAACCAAACAAAGGGGGAAAAAAGACAAACCAAGGAACAGACTTTTAATTACAGAGAACTGATGGTTACCAGAGGGGAAGTAGGTAGGTGGTGGGTGAAACAGGTAAAGGGGATTACACTTATGAGGAGCACTGAGTAATGTATAGAAATGTTGAGTCACTATATTGTTCACCTGAAACTAATGTAACACTATGTCAACTATACTGGAATTAAAATAAAAAACCTAATTTTAAAAAAAGGAGAGAGCACCAAAGCTACAGTGGTTGTTGAACCCATGGACTCACAAAGACGGAGTTTAACAGTAATTTTCAAGCTTGGCTGAACAATGGAATCATCAGGATTGCTTTAAAAACAAAACAAAAACTGATGTCGAAGCCCTTCACCTCAAGATCCTGATTTAACTGATTTGCAGCATGGCCTGGGCATGGAGGCTTTTAAAAATTTCCTCAGATTCTTCTTCCATTCTCAAATGGAAGGGTCAATTTGAGAACCACTAATGTGAAGGGAGAGACCCACGAATAGATCTGTGGGAAGCACCCAGTTTAGGGATCAGAAGGAGAAATAAAACCAAGAAGCAGAGATGGAAAGCAGGGTGGTTAACAACATTAAATGCTGCAGAAAAATTCAGATGGATGAGAGTTGAAACAGGTCTTTGGATCTATCACTCAGGAGATCACCTGTAAGAAAGCAGTTTCAGTAGAGGGATGAAGGCAGAAGCCAGCTTGCAAAAGGGGAACTGAGTGGGAACTGAAAATGTAGCCCAAAGGCTTCAGCAGGGAAGGGAAGGGAAAGGAAAAGAATCAAGGAACAATCACAAACGTAAGGGAAACTTGAGTGGTTTATAGCCCAAGGGGAAGGATCAAATAGAGGAAAAGAGACTGAAAAAGGAAGTGGGGGGGACGACTGGCAAAACAAGCAGAAGGGAATGAGACCATGAATGTGGAGCCTGGGTTGGCCTTGGAGAGGACAAGATTTCCTTCCTACTCTGAGGTTGTAGAAAAAGATGGAAAAGGATAATGAGAGAAATAGGTAGAAAGGAGAGCAGAGGAGTTCACATAGGATGGGATAATATTCTCAAGCCTGAGCTTTTGTTGTATTATTTATAGCACCCTTGTAATCAGAAATGCTACTGGGAAAACCAAATCAATCAAATTGCACCTTCTCCTCCCCAGCAACTCCTGGGCTTATCATTTGATTATCCACAGAATTTCAATATGGAGGCAGGAGGCTCTGTCATCGTGGGGATCAGGCAAACACCACTTTTTAGAAAAAAATTTGCTTCTCCTCATCCTAGGCATATTCCCTGTAAGGCTCATTGATATAAGCCACATTATATTCTTTATATGCTACTTAAGCCTGAAATGAAATCAAACCCTGCATTAAACTTCTCTGGTTTTCTACTGATTTGAGAGCTCTGGATTTATTTCTTTAGAAAGAAAGTAATGTTGCTCTTCTCCCCTGATACATTACTCCCCTGATAAAAATTCTTCTATGGTTCTGCACTGATATGCTTTATTTACATTTAAACCTTCAGTATCCAATTCCAACCTGGGATCTAAAACAATTTTTTAACTGTGTATTTATTTTGAGACAGAAAAAGAGAGATGGCACAAGCAGGGTAGGGGTAGCCTCAGAGGGAGAGAGAGAATCTCAAGCAGGCTACAAGCTATCAACCGGATAGGAGGCTCCATGCCACGAACCGTGAGGTCATGACCTGAGATGAAATCAAGAGTCAGACGCTTAACGGACTGAGTCACCCAGGAGCCTCTAAAACAATTTTTGATAGCGCTTCCACCTTTAACCACAAACTCGTATCTAACCTGCAGCCCTGCCTATCTGCCATTCCCTAACATGTTATTTTCTCACCTCCATACTTTTGCTCCTTTTTCTCTTAGTATGCCTTCTACCTGCCATATATCCAGAACCTACTTCTACTTCAATGCCTAACTCAAGTGACTCCTCCTTAAACTCTTTCCAGATTCCCCAATCAGAGATTAGGATCTCTCCCTCCTCTGAATGTCTGTGGTCTATTGGTTTGTATTGCATATAATTAAGTCTATTTTTGCATATATAGGTCTCCTTCCTCAATATAAACGAGGACAAGAATCATCTCTCTTCCAAAGCTGTATATCCCCAAGTAACATTCTGTCCTGAGATGCTGTAGACAGAAGTCTAATAGGACAGGAATGTGTCCATTTTGTGGGGATCATTCCTCTTAGAATAATCATTCAGCTGGGGTTAAATCCTGCCTCTAGTAAGAGAGGGGTAAATTAGATTGGCTCCAAAGATCTTTTCCAATTCTGACCTCCTTCTACTGGCCCATAATCCTTGCCCACATTTTATTTGTATTCTCATGGTTAAATCTTTAACCCTGTCAGCCGGAATCTCTAAACGTTAGTTAGTGCCAGTCTTTTTAGTTTTCAAAAACAATAGTACACAAGTCCAAAAACAAGTGGTCATAAAGCAATTGTGAAATGGTGTAATGTGTGCAGTCTGAAATCAGAAGATATGGGCTTTAGTTTTTTGCCGTTGCTTTACTGGCAGTGTGACCTTCGGGTAGTTGTTTAACCATTCTAAGCCTTTGTTTTCTCATCTGTATAAAGAATATGGTCCGGGGGGGGGGGGGGGAAGGGTTTAAAAAATACACGTGACTATATGTGTGTTTCTGTGTATTCGTATTTTGCACTCCAGCCTGGGCTGTGATAAGAAACTCTTAAGTTCGAGGCCCAGGTGTACGGGGAACCAGTCTTGTTCTCTTCTCTCAGAGGATCTCTGCATTTTCGTTTGCAAAGGAGAGAGGCCGTGACCTTGGGCCAGTCCCCAACCCGTTAGTCACCCAGCAGTGCTCTCGGTGGTGGCAGGAGGAGGAATGCGTACCCAGAGGTTAGGGAACGCAAGGAAGGAGACAAGTAGGGCAGTCAAGCCAGCGTTTCTTCTAACCAAACACCCTAGACTCCTGCTCTGCCTAGAAGTATTGAGAAGGCCACCGGGGCATGAGAGGGAAATGAAGCGTTTAAGACCTCCAGGCTCGGCTTAGCCCCAGGTTCAGGAAGAGCCCCGGTCCTAGAAAGACCCACATTCCTCCGTGACTCAGGACTCCAGAGAAAAGGCCGGAAAAAACCGGAGTCTCCACCCCCAGCCCTCAGGTGAAGCCCCGATTACCCCGGTCTCCACGTACAACGGCACACGCTGCCCTGGGTAAAATTAATTACCATAAACCTCTAGCGCTTTTTCTTCCATGATCCGGGGCTGCCGGGCAGCTCCCCGCTCAAAGAGGCGGGAGAGCCACAGGACTCTGCTCAGCGTCCAGGAGAGCAGCCCGGACACCCGCTCCATGCTCACGCTCCGCCATCCCTGGCGATTGTCCCACCCGAGCCACCGTCTCTCAGCAGAGGTCCTCGCGATTTATCAACTTCCTGGTCTTCAAACAGGTCGAGACAAGCTTAAAGCTCCAGCGGAGCAGAAAATAGGCGGGACCCGACGGAGTAGCGCGGAGGACCTAGGGAAGGGCCCCGCAAAGACTACAAGCCCCAGCATGCTTTGCTTGCTTCGGCGGGACAGGAGAAAAAAATTCCTCCCAGCACGCGATGCGCATTGCGTGCTGGGACGTATGGGACGTTTTCTTCGGAAGACAGAGAGCTATCTTCTGGGATTTGTAGTCTCAGATGGGGAAAGGGGGTGTAAGTAACAGTCTGTTAACTGCCACTGTTTGCCTCACTCAGCGCCTTCGATAAGCTAAAGATGAATCCTGAAGAGGTAGGGGAAAGGAGATATTGATTTCTACTGCTGGAGGAGGGTGTGCAAGGAGACTCTACTGTTATTTTTCTGAGGGAGCTGCTTCCAGCCAGTTTTCTTACTTCCTAGTCACGCCGGAAGTGAGTTTCCGTTGCCGTGAGACAATAATTTGGGAGCCCATTGAAGTTGTTGAGACGTCGCGGGGGCGGAGAGGGCTTTTTGATTTTCTCGTCTCAGAGGGACTCAAGCCCGCACAACTCCCCACTAAGAGCTATTTCTGTCATTCGCCTTCGAAGATAACTTAGAAGGAAAGCGCTTTCTCTGTGCCCAAGGTAACCCGTAGTGACATACTGGAAATCGTTATCCTAAAAAGAATGGTTTAAGTCCTCTGGTGGTCGTGGCTGTGATGAATGCCAGTATCAAGGTTGATGATATTACTTTTATCCGTCCATCCTTCCAATCAAGTCTCAAACATTTGTTGGGCGCTTACTTTGCCAAATTTGGTCTACAGACGCCTAGAATACAGAGATTAGGAGGCGGCCCCTGCATTCAAACAGTTCATACATAGACCTGGGAGGAGCTAATCCCTCAAGTTGAGGAATTTGCAATTAGAAACAAACCTTTTGTCAAACTTGATGGCAAATTTCATCTCTATTGAGAAGAAAAGATTACTTTGCAGAATTGCCCTATGCTAACATATTCCATTTATCTTTAAACTTTTGTTTATTGTCTGGCTGATTTAGACTTTAGTCTCACCAGACAAGTGAATAGTTTAGGCCCCAGGAAAATTTTGTTCAGAGTTTAAGAATGTCTCTGCCATCTATTCCACTTCACTCCACAGCAATTAAGAGGATAACCCTAACTGCCTTGTAACCAAATTTAGGGCACTAAGGCCTCACCTCCTGTAAGGCCTCCCAGCATCTCCAAGCATAACTGATATCCTCTTTCACTATGCTCCCAGAACATAGATAGCACTGAACACTTTGAATTGTTCTTTTGCATGCCTGTCTCAGGTGTTTAGTGAGGCCGTTTATTTCTGTATCTCAAATGCATAGTAAAGTGCCAGGCACACAGTAGATATTCAACATGTATTTCTTGAATGAATTAACTAAACGTCCAAAGAATAAATGGCGAAACTTTACTGCAGCCTGTTGAAAGACATCAATGAAAAATATTTATTGAATCTCAGTGAGAGCACTGTGGTTGGCATAGGTTCGCGGCATGCAGAGTTTTCAAATTCTTTTATTCGAGCGACATCTTAAGAAGCCTGTTAGATAAAGCCATCCAGAACACAAAGAGCCCTAGGAATCAGAGCAGCCCCTACCTAGCTCCTCCTTTTCTGGCCCACTCTCCCCGCCCCAGTTAGGATTTCAGCGTTGCGACGCAGGGCTCGGATTTGATGGTCACAAGCGGTGAGCCGGCCTACCCCGCCCCCAACGGCTAGGCTCCGCCCTGAGCCCCAGCCCTGTGCGTCCCGCGGGGTTGGTCGCGACGATCCCACTCCTCGTTCCTCTGGAACGTTTTGCTCGCGGCGCTCTCTCTCTATAAAGTTGTTGTTGCGGCTTCCGCCACGGGTGGAGTAAGATGGCGTCGGGTGGTGGTGGTTGTAGCGCTTCGGAGAGACTCCCTCCACCTTTCCCTGGCTTGGAGCCAGAGTCCGAGGGGGCGGCCGGGGGGTCAGAACCCGAGGCTGGGGACAGCGACACCGAGGGGGAGGACATTTTCACCGGCGCCGCGGCAGCCGTGAGTTCGCACCCTTCGGGGTGACCGGCGGGCGGGCTCCCCAAAAGGGAAGAGAGGCTAAGCGAGGGTCGAAGAGGCTGGGCTGAGTGGGCCCGGCGAGACCTTGCGTTGGTGACGATGGTGTTGGCCTGGGGGCCGTTAACGAGTGCTAAGACGTAGGGGTCTGACTTAACAGGCCCATGGGGCCGACAGTGAAGAACGAGGGGTGTGGTGGCTTCGCCGACGTCCCTGACAGCGAAGAGCTGCCCAGGCCGGCATTTGGCCCTGCCTTGTGGTGACCCCAGGGACCCACGGGGCTGTTTTGTGGTGGTTTCCTGTCGGCTTGATTTTTAATAGGTCAGGATAAGGGGATGGAGTGCAGATCTTCTTTACCCTAACCTTGCTGCTCCTAGGATGAATAGTGTTATCTGGAGTGGTTCAGAATGGCGACCCGCCCACAAATCCTTTCATTAGCTCAAAACATACCGTTAATTACCAAAGGCCCATTCTGGATTTAGTTTATAGGAGTTAGGTGGACTCCTGATCTCTAAGGAAAATCTTACCAGAACTACATAAACCACAAGCTTTGTTCTTTTTAAAGGGATGTACTAAAGTGTCTAAGTACCTTTGTGGGATCAGATCTGTAAATGTGAGGAGGAAATGGTATTTACCTTAGTAATATAATAAGAGGTGTTGGGAAAAACTGATCTTTATATGTGGAATGTGGAAATCAGTAATGTGTTCTGGAACCAGTGGAGATGTTTTGGACTGTTTTATAAGAATACTGTCTCATACCACTTGGTACATTTCGTTCTAGTTGAAAACTTCAGTACTAGGTCTGTGAATTCATCTATTTTATCTTGGATAATACTTCTCTTCATAGTAGCTATTCAGTATATGAGTGACTAAATCAGCTTTAAGTTCTTTATGCAGCATGTGTCTGAAAAAGTTTGAAGCTTGTTTCATATATGTCAGAAAGGGGCTAAGTTTCTAGGGAATATCTTTGGTGACATCTTTAGAATTTTCCTTTTACTGTATTCAGGAATTGAATTCATAATTCCATAATTGTTGATGCTAATATAACCATTTAAACTGTCTAATGAAGTCTCTGTTTTCTAAGAGATAGTTCTTTCTACTATTTTAGTCTTTCTGTATCTCATTTAAAACAAACTTTTGGTCTTTTCCTTTAATCACTCTTCCATAAGCTATGGAGAACAACTACTGTTAATAACTGCTGGGGTGGTAGACATTCCAACCAGAATATCTGAAAATAGAAACTCTGACAGTAAAAGTGACTGGTCCCATAGGCAAATGATGATTTATTTTTCAGAAAGGACCCTGGAAGGGTGATGAGTTATTTTCTAGAGTTTTCTAAAAAGTTGAAGAGGCTAGGATGTGATTGATCTCAGTTTATAGAGGCATCAATAGTTCTCTCTTGTAAGACTGTGATAGTACTTTGCCTAATTTCCAGCTAAAGAGAGGAGGAGGGAGTCAGAATTAATTTGTTCTACCACAGAGAGCATAATTATTTTTAGTTAGATTTTGATCCTGGAAAATTGAGTTGCTGAGGTAACTAAAATGCTACTTGTAAGCCATTTCTTGAGCTGCCTGTTCTGGTGTTAATCTTCAGGAAACCAAGACTCCTCACTATTTAAACTGACTTTTTTGTTAAATAACCATTAAATACAAATTATATTCCAATAAATGTTTTCGTTGTGAGCTAGTGTAAGAAGATAGGGAATTGCCTGTGTCTTAAGGAATAACACTGAAGAATTGAATAAGAACAAGGGCTTTGAAGGCTGATTAAATCCATCCAGGGGCACCTGAGCGGCTTAAGTAGTTAAGTGTCCAACTTCAGCTCAGGTCACGATATCACCATTAGGGAATTCTAGCCCCTCATCAGGCTCTCTGCTGTCAGTGCAGAAGAGAGGATCCGCTTCAGATCCTCTGTCTCCCTTTCTCTCTGCCCCTCCCCTGCTCAAGTTCTCTTTCTCTCTGTCACTCTCTCAAAAATAAAATAAACATTTAAAAAATCCATCCAGATTGTTACTTGGTCAGAGTACTTAATTACTTTGTATGGTTTCCTCACCCATAAAGTGTGAGTAATAGTAGTATTTATGGCACCGTTAATGTGAGGATTAAATTAGAATACTTGTGAAACGCTTGTGAAACAGTTGAATATTGCAAACTGTTATTACTCTAAGATTCAAAAAACCCACAGAATCTAATAATGGATTAGAAAAGTTACGTGTATAGTTTATCAAAATCAAACCACTAATAAGATTGGTTTGGTTAGGTAAACGTCATCAAAGAAGGCACTTAATGACTTCAGTAGCACCTTATTAAGTTTACCTTCATAGTGTGTTTTGTTGGGTGTTGGAGGCAAAGGAGGGATATTAAAAATTGGGAAGGTGAGGCATATAAAATTTAAAATAATTTATGATATGCATGTAATTTCCTGGACAGTGATGTAACAGCTGCTGTTGTTAATCATCCCATCTGCTCTTTTTTTTAGAGCCCAAGAGGTTTTGTTAATATGGTAATAAACGTATGAATTATAATCAAAAGAGCAGCCCATGACATGCATTTCAGAATCTACAAACCAATTACTAATGGAATAGACTGGAATTAAAAGGATTATTAAAACAAATCTGAAATCACTGTCTAAGATTGAAAACCACCTGGGAAGTATCTTAAAATGATTCTCAAGGATACCTAAGACCTGAGGCTCCTGGGTGGCTCAAGTCAGTTAAGTGTCTGACTCCTGGTTTCAGCTCAGTTGTGATGGTTTGTGAGTTTGAGTCCCATGTCAGGCTCTGCTCTGACAGCTGCTTGGGATTCTTCCTTTCCCTCTTTCTCTGCCCCTCTCACCCTCTCTCTGCCCCTCCCCTCTCAAAAATAAATAAAAGTTAAAAAGTTTTTTAATAAAATAAATTTAAAAAGAATACCTAAGATCTTATCGTCTTTCTGCTTCTTACTTTTTGGGCCTATAAATAAAAAGATCTAAAATTCTA